GCTATGTTAATTATATTCACCCAGGTCATTTCACTGGCTTTTTATAAGAGAGAAGCTTAGTCACCTAAGATCTGATAAATATACACACGTTAGACCTGGGCCTGTACCAACTGTCAAACGTACTACCTCCCCTCCCACCACGCCCCCTCGCTCACTCCCACCCTCTCCCCCATCTGCTCGGCGTTGCTGGAATCCTTGTAAAACAGTGAATAATTTTAATATAAACGTCATGTATTTTGCACAAGAGATAAAAATTAATCACCTGTATCATATTACAGTGGTGATTTAACAGTAAAAGTGTATATGTACGTATATGGTATTCCACATACACAAGTATAAATAAAAAGTTTATGTGATGATCGGACAACGTCCATTTCGGTTAACGTCACATTTCCAAGAACGTATCTAGGATGTTAACCGGCGCATGACTGTATTATTGTTATTATTATTATTGTTAATTTTAGTATTACAGTCGGCCCTTAACATACGCGGGTTTATAATACACGGATTTGCAAATACGCGGATTGCCCCGCCGGAGGAATATTCTGTACATTGAAGTAATTGAAGTACATTCAAATCGCACGCCATTCAACTCGCGCGCGGCACCGAACACGGGACAACGCCCGCTCCCGCAACCTCACACACACACACACGCATAGCTCTCCCTCACTCAGTCAGTCTCGCTGTAACCACGCTTGTGTTGACATCAGCATTGTAGTTGCAAAAATATTACATTTCCGTGAATGTATTATATCAAGCACAGTATGAATAGAATATCACTAATATAAGAGTATTTTAACCGAAAACTACTAAAAAAACGAGTAACATATCTTGAACATCGGAAGGTTAGGTAAAGTCTTTTGTTTTCATGTAGTTTATCCTAATTTACATTGAAATGCATTACGTTTCAGCAAAACTACTATTTATTTCTGAGAATATGGAAATGTAATATTTTGCTGACATGACGTACGTATTACAGTGGAAAGTGACGAAAGCAATGACTCGCTTTCTTTCGTTCAAAAGATGTTACCGTAATCGCTTTTCGAATGGTTTTCAGTTAAAAAAGTGTTGTATTACAATAATATTCTATCCTAATTCACCTGTGATGCAACAGTTTTTTTAACTGAAAACCTTTCGAAAAGCGATTACGGTAACATCTTTTGAACGAAAGAAAGCGAAAGTCATTGTTTTCGTCACGATTTTATCCCACTTTCCACTGTAATACGTACGTCATTTCAGCAAAAATATTATATTTCCGTGAATGTAGTATATCAAGCACAGTATTAATAGAATATCATTGTAATATAACAGTATTTTAACCGAAAACTATTAAAAAAACGAGTAACATCTCTTGAACATTCGAAGGTTAGGTAAAGTCTTTTGTTTTCGTCATGTATTTTATCCTATTTTACATTGAAATACATCACGTTTCAGCAAAACTACTATTTATTTCTGAGAATATATTCATTCAGGCACAGTTTAGGTAAAATATACATGTGCTGTAACATTTTTTTAATTGAAAACGATTCGAAAAACACGTACCCTCTAGCCCTGTTCAAGGAGAAGACTGGGAGGAGCTGTTTGGTGCTTAAGACGATGACAAGGAAAATGATTTTGATGGATTTTAATGAAAATATTCAGAAAGACCCTGGCACTGTCAAGGAAAGTGGCTGCTGAAGGCTTCCAGGACATGGCAGAGGACGAGATTAGGGAGCTAATTGAAGAACACGACACTGAGCTGACCGAGGAGGATCTACAGGAGTTAGTAGACTCAGGCAAGGAAGAGGAAGCAAAAGAGAAAGAGGATGAGGAAGAGGAAGAGCACCAAGAAATAACGTTGGAGAAGTTGGGGGAGATGACCTGGAATATTGAGGCACTGAAAAACCTGGCCTATAGTATGGACCCCTCCATGGTGCGTGCCCTGAAATTCATGCGAGGGATGGATGACGTTTTTGCTCCATACAAAAACATCATGGAAGAAATGAAAGAAAGAGACGACAACTCCCCATCACCATGTTCTTTGATCACTCAAGGAGAGATTTAACACCATCAATCACTGGCGGCAGTGAGGAAGCAGCTGAATCCACCGTCGCCCCCACTTCACCACCAGTTATGGAATTGAGTGACGATGAGCCCGATGACCCCCGTCCTGTTGCCGAGGATAGGTACTGTACAGTAAAGTGAAATTTTTATCTCTTTTTTTTTAATAGCTTTTCTTGCCATGTTTATTGTTTGTAAAAATGCACAGCACAGTACAGTACTGTACATAGGAAGTGGAGGAGCAGTTATTCACAAAACATTTGTGTTTGTTGTCGGCAGTAGTGACAGTGAGGAGGTGGAGGAGGCGGAGCAGGGAGCAAGTTGGGAGGAGTGGTGACCTTGGACACGGGAGCAGGGACGAGTGGAGATGCCAGCCAGTACATTTCGGGTGTATTAATTGTTTTTATAGCTATTTTTGCATTTTAATATTAAATACTGTACATTACGTTTCAACAAAACTACCATTTATTTCTGAGAACATGGAAATGTAATATTTTTGCTGAAATGATGTACATATTACAGTGGAAAATGGGATAAAATTGTGACGAAAGCAATGACTCTCTTTCTTTCGTTCAAAAGATGTTGCCGTAATCGCTTTTGGAATGGTTTTCAGTTGTGGGATTATAAGGCTAATGATAGGATAGAATATTATTGTAATACAGTACGAGTAAAGTAGTTTTTTTAACTGAAAACCATTCGAAAAGCGATTACAGTAAAATCTTTTGAACAACGAAAGAAAGCGAAAGTCGTTGTTTTCGTCATGATTTTATCCCACTTTCCACTGTAATATGTACGTCATTCCAGCAAAAATATTATATTTCCATATTTATTTCTGAGAATACATATGTTCACTCAGTCACAGTTAAGGTAAAATATACTTGTGATGTAATATTTTAATGAAAATATGGTATTGTAGTTTTCTTTTGTTTCAAATTTAATTAACAATGATTGATATTTCAAATGTAATGAAAAAAAATATATGTACAGTATCTATAAATACACTTTAATAAATGAATACTTTGTTTTACATCGTCCTGTGCTACCATACCATGGAATTGGCTACTTTGGGCTTACTGTACCTGGCAACTGTACCGACACTCACAGCTGGTGGTGCGTTGGTGCATCGTTTCCATTGTTTACTGGTAGTTACTGGTAAATATTTTTCAACCTAACGAAAGTATTACCCTTTTAGAGGTCGACCCCCAATTTTTTGCCAAATAATTTGGTCTTAGAAGCTCGAACTACACACAGGTATATACGGTAAATAAGGACATGGGGGGCCAGGGTTTTTTTTTTTGGGGCAGCACATATACACGGATTTTTAACATCCACGGGTATCTCTGTTACGTAACCCCCGCGTATGTTAAGGGCCGACTGTGTATGTTATTATTATTATTTTATTTTGGTGTATTTTATATTAAAATTTTTATTTACTATGAATAATTATTATAATTCTTATTACTATTACATTTTCGCCCCCCAGGCCCCGATGTGGGTCAGTGATCTATGCCCGGGTGGGCTAATCCCTGTTTAAAAAAAAAAATAAAAATAAATAAATTGCCCACAAAAAAAACTTTCGGGTTTTAGAGCTTTTCGGTTTTTGGAACTTCGGATAAAGGGTTGTCAACCTGTAGTATATTATGGCAGAACAACAGAGAGGACGATCTTCTAAAGACACCCCTCGAGGGGCTACCAATCGCTACCAATTTGGGTCTGTCAAAAAGAACCCTTAAAACTGTAATTAGGAAAGAACTTATTGATGAGTTTGACGCAAGTAGACAAGTGCAAACAGGCACTAGTCGATCCATAGGTTACCATGATGAGATGTATCAAGTGAAACATGTATATGGAGCAAGTAACAAGATCACTAGATTACAAGATGTTGTAACCGCTAGATTAAGGTTAGGATATAAGTACCTTTGGCAGTATGTTCCTCAAGCAGATGTAAACAAAACTAAATGTAAAGTGTGTGGCCATACATATGGCCACACACTTGAACACTACGTCCTCGACTGTGTGAAGATAGAACCTTTTAGGGACAGGTCCAAGCACACTGTGTGTGAAATGGCACAACACTTCATCTCTAATGGCAAGATAGCCGACATATTAAGATTGTATCCACTTTTTTGCACTTAGTAACTATATCAATTCTCATGTACAGAACCAAATACGCAATGTGCTTGAATACCTCCCACGTAAATGTGAATAACAAAGTGTGAGGCCAGACATACTGCCTCACACGCCTGTTCTCACGCATTTGTGAATAAGTTACCCTTTATGTATAGAACCAAACAAATAATGTAAATGAAATACTGTGTAACTTTCAGTGCCATAATATCCTGACAACGGGGGTTAATTATTATGACCCTTTGTAAACCCTACTCTGTAATCCTTTTGCACTACCGCTCACAGGATGAGTGTGGGGTGCACAATAAAGTTGCCACTGCAAGCGGCAAAATCAAAATCAATGGTAGGAGGAGGTATTGAGATATACAGCTACTCCCCGACTTACGACCACCCAGACATACGACCGCCTCAGTTGTACCAAAATTTTGTGAAATTACATATTTTCGAGTCCCAGCGTCAGTGATTGCGCTGTGTACTGACAAAATTTTTGTTTGTAATTCACTTTAAAATGGCTGGCAAGCTTCAAAGTGAGAGTTTTGTGGTGCTGCGAAGAAAAAGAGTTACCCATTTTAGATTTTCTATGTATTATTTAAGCATTTTCAACTACAGACCATTTTGACTTACGACCTGGATTTGGGTCCCCAACCCCGTTATGTCGGGGAGCAGCTGTAGATATTTTATTGCTCTTTATTCCAACTAAGTGACAGTCCCTTCTTTAGCTTTTACTTTACCTGAAAATATTCATTAAAAACCGATGAAAAGGCTGAGGTATAGTCAGAAAAGTGGATTAAATTTATACATACACAACTGCTATAAAACTTCTAAGGTCTCACCTGTGTTAAATGAGCTGTAGTCTTGGGAACAAGTGTAGCCATGGCATGTGGAGCTTCTGGAAGAGATTCTTCACTGCTTTTCTGATATACAGAACAAGTAAGCAGATGAGCACAATTTGTACATGCTCTTTCAAAGTCTATAGGTTCCGGAAGAGGAGGTAACTTGGGAGACTGAAATAAGTCAAATAATAATTATTGTATATTGAAAGAAATTCTATTTGCTAACATTATACTATATATCAGGGGTTGTCAAACTTCCTAACTTAAAGAGCCACACACGATAATCTTCACAGGTTTGAGAATTGGAAGACGTAAGCATTTTTATTAATCTTAGTAAATATTTTACTAGAACAGGGAAGATAATCTGTACAAATAAAAACAAAATACCAATAAAATTACAGATATTGTATTAAGATAGCACTTTACAAAATTACAGTACAGTACGCCCAGATAATTCACGGATGACACCCTGGATGTACCCAAGAATGTCTAAGGGTACAGTGGGGTATGCTATAACGAACGGATCCTACTACGAATATTCCTATAACGAACGGTTTTACCTATAAAATTGAGAATGCTATAACGAACGCAACTCCTACAACGAACGCGGATGAATACCGGACTATTTCGCCTGGCGCATGAATATTGTTGTACCGCGACCCACAACAAGAGCGTCAGGCGCCATCTTTGTCTCATTGTGTAGCCAGTGCACCACTGTTATTGTTGAAATTTCGTCTTTTGATGTGGAAATAGAGTTATTTGTATAAATATTTTGTTATACAAGTGTACAATTGTGACAATGAATCGTCCAAAGCGAGTGAGAAAGCTCATAACTCTTGAAACTAAGAAAGAAATCATAAAGAAACGTGAGAGTGGAACAAGCATTGCCAAACTTAGTGATGAGTATGGGATGGCTAAATCGACTATATGTACGATTTTAAAGAATAAAGAGGAGTTGAAAACAGTGCAAGTGGCTAAGGGAAACTCTAGACTTAGCAAAGCAAGGTGTAATGTGATTGAGATGGAAAATTTACTCTTAGTGTGGATAAAGGAGAAAGAAATGGCAGGTGATAGCATTAGTGAAGCTATAATTTGTGAGAAGGCCAGACAATTGTTTGAGGACCTTAAAGCCAAGACTCCCAGTGCAAGTGATAGTGATGCGTCAGTGTTTATGGGTACCAAGGAGTGGTTTACTGGTTTCAGAAGGAGAAACAAAATACATAGTGTTGTGAGACATGGTGATGCTGCTAGTGCCGATAAGGAAGCAGCTAAGGAACACCATGACACTTTTTTTGAATATTATTAAAGAGGGAGGCTTTGTTTCTCAGCAGGTATTCAACTGTGATGAAACTGGACTATTTTGGAAAAAAATGCCTCGCCGTACATACATTACCAAGGAGGAAACTTCTGTCCCTGGCCATAAGCCAATGAAAGACAGGCTTACCCTCCTTCTTTGTGCTAATGCTTCTGGTGACTGCAAAATAAAGCCACTCCTTGTGTACCATGCAGAAAACCCCAGAGCTTTAAAAAACACTAGGAAGACCCGCCTTGGTGTTATGTGGCGGTCAAACCCAAAGGCTTGGGTGACCAGGAATTTATTCTCTGAGTGGGTGATTGAGGTGTTTGGACCCAGTGTTCGGGAATACCTCAGGGAGAATAATCTTCCACTAAAAGCTTTGTTGGTGATGGACAATGCACCAGCCCACCCTCCTAATTTGATGGTTGAATTGCCAGAGGAGTTGAACTTCATCACTGTGCATTTCTTGCCACCCAACACAACACCTCTCATCCAGCCCATGGATCAACAGGTAATTTCTAACTTTAAGAAGCTGTACACAAAGGCACTGTTTAGAAAATGTTTTGCGTCCACTTCTTCCAGTGATGTTAGCTTGAAGGAATTTTGGAAGAGTCACTTCAATATAGCAGATGCTGTATTTTTAATTACCTCAGCCTGGAAAGAGGTTACTGTGAGGTGTCTTTGTGCTGCTTGGAGGCCATTGTGGCCTGAATGTGTCCTTCAAAGAGACTTTGAAGGCTTCGAAGAGTTAGAAGAAGAGGCTGTTGTTCATGAAATTGTGGCTCTGGGCAATTCCATGGGCCTGGAAGTGGATGATGATGATGTTGAGGAGTTGGTGGAAGAGCACAGTAAGGAATTGTCCACTGAGGAGCTGCTTGAGCTTCACAAAGAGGAAAACGAGACACTGAAGCGGAGCTTAACTTCTGAGGAGTCAGGGGAGGAGGAGGACAAGGAGGAAAGCCGCATCATTCCAGCCAAAGATCTCAAGGATGCGTTCTTTTGCTGGAGCAAACTGTCCAAGCTTGCTGAGGATTATCATCCTGATGTTGGTTCTGTGCAAAAGGCCATCAGTGTGTTCAATGACAATGTTATGAACTACTTTTGGAAGGTCCAGAAATCAAGGTTGAAGCAGCCAACCCTGGATTCCTTCTTTACAAAGATAACAAGAGAACCTACAGACAAAGTGCCTGTGAGACAGTCACCAAAGAGGGCTAGGAAGGATGACTCCTCTCCTTCCACCTCTTCTCAATAATTCTCTCCTCCCCCCTCCCCCTCTGCCTCCTGTCCTGCATGCTGAACAACACTAAGGTAAGATAAAGTACCGTATTTTTTACATTTTCCACAGAATTTTTTCAGTGTTAAGTGGTTGTATTTGGGGGCCTGGAACGGATTAATCCTATAACGAACGAATGCTATAACGAACGAGGTTCTGGAACCAATTACGTTCGTTATAGCATACCCCACTGTACTTTTAAAATTGCTGGCATTTTTGCGGCCGGGACAGGGAGCCATTCATTCTAAAGACAGTAATTTCCTTTACCTGTATTGTGTAGACACACACACACAAAACACATAAAAATAAATAATAATTGGAACAACCTCTCACAAATAATCAGAAAAAAAAAATGTTGAGAAGTTCACTTCGTGTTTTATTAATAACAAAGCACAGAGTGAACTTAGGGTAGACTCAATATTTTTAATAAATTTCTTTCTGATTGTAAATATGTACAGTATTATATATACAGTATTACCCCGCCTAACGCGGTTTCACTTAACGCGTTTTATCATATACGCGGTGCCTCGCCAGAGCTGAACTTTCACTTAACACGGATTTTTTCCACATATACGCGGTGAGTGTCCGGCTCAAGACGCTATTTTTAGATTTGCCCCACCCTGCCTGACTGCCTGTTTTAGCTCATAAAATTCATACAAATTACCCGGCCAGAATATAATTTACATTGCTGGAATTCTTATAATTTGGTGATCATTTTGAATATAAACATCATATTTTTGCATTAGACATACAAATTTTAGATAAAAAATTTTCTCAAATTAACTATGTTATCTTTTGTGCAAAATATATGACATTTATATTCAAAATATTCCTGGTCTTACAAGGAATCCAGCAATGTCAATTATATTATCCTAACTTTAGTTTGAGGTATTATTTATTAAAATTTAGTGGTTATCCCACACATCTCCTTGGGACGGTTGGTGGGGGGAGGGAGGGACCGACCGACCATCTGTTACCCTGTGAAGAATTATTTTTTTTTTTATTAACTGAAGATATTTGTTTTAGCTCATAAAATTCATACAAATTATCCGGTCTGAATATAATTTACATTGCTGGAATTCTTATAATTTGATGATCATTTTGAATATAAACATCATATTTTTGCATTAGACATACAAATTTTAGATAAAAATTTTTCTCAAATTAACTATGTTATCTTTTGTGCAAAATATATGACATTTATATTCAAAATATTCCTGGTCTTACAAGGAATCCAGCAATGTCAATTATATTATCCTAACTTTAATCTGAGGTATTATTTAATACTAAATGTTAAAAACCCTGGAAGGGAGGATTGGTGGGGGGTGGGGGGGAGGGTTGGGACTGACCGCGCGGTTGGAAGAGGGGGGGAGGCAAGGTGGGGTACTTTGATTGACAGATAGTGTTGTGAAGATTATTATTTTTTTTATTAACTGAAGATATTTGTTTTAGCTCATAAAATTCATACAAATTACCCGGTCAGAATATAATTTACATTGCTGGAATTCTTATAATTTGGTGATCATTTTGAATATAAACATCATATATTTTTCATTAAACATACAAATTTTAGATAAAAATTTTTCTCTAGGTAACTATGTTATCTTTTGTGCAAAATATATGACATTTATATTCAAAATATTCCTGGTCTTACAAGGAATCCAGCAATGTCAATTGTATTATCCTAACTTTAGTTTGAGGTATTATTTATTAAAATTTAGTGGTTTTCCCCCAAAAATTTCTCTGAGAGGGAAGAGCCAGCGAGTGTAGTGTGAGAGAGGGAGGGAGTTGAGTCCATTATTTGAATGGACATTAACTTGGCGACTGTATTTCTCTTAAGTATTAATTGTGTGCATGTACCATCATAAAATTAAGATGTTATTTTTACTACAACATAGGTATGTGCCTTCAAAAAGTGGAGTTTGGGGGTCAGGCCGGTTTCTATTGGAATTAATCCCATATGTTCTGTTGTTCACTTAACGCGGATTTCACTTAACACGGGACCCTCTGGGTTCAATTGACCGCGTTAAGTGGGGTACAACTGTATATATATATATATATATATATATATATATATATATATATATATATATATATATATATATATATATATATATATATATATATATATATATATATATATATATATATATATATATGTGTGTGTGTGTGTGTGTGTGTGTAGACACACACAGACAAAATACATACAAATAAATAATAATGGGAATATCGTCTCACAAATAATCAGAAGAAAATATTAAAAATTTTGATTATACCCTCAAGTCCTAAGGGCAAACACAACGCTCTCTCCACCCTGGAAATGCCATCCCTCAGTGACCTCCACCACCAAGCACTAGCAAGGTTTGGCAGTGGACTACTGCACCATGCTCGTCATCACGACCTCCTGCCACCGGCAGTCCCCCGCCCACCTCGCGCAGTCCGCCACTACAACAAAATTCAGCCCATAAGAGCCCCTACATTGATAGATATAAGAACAGCACCATTCCATCTACTGTTAAAATAATAAACAACTCCTGATTTATGTACTGTACAGCCCTGTAAATGTATTCAACGCATATCATTATGTCTAAATCAAATGTAAGTTTGTATATTTTTAGCCACCAGCTGCAACTCTATTAATAAACCGTTTATTATTATTATTATTATTATTATTATTATTATTAAAGGAAATACACATTTTTTAGTACACAAGTAAAAATGTACACCCCCACCCCCCGGGATCCAATTTTCCTTCTGTGGAGCACCATCTATTAACCTCTTCCCTTGATCTCATACTACTAACTGAACTTCAACTGACCAAACCAGCTTCACCCAAACCTTTTCAAATCTCCAACTACAACCTTCATACCTCCTTCCGTTCTAAGGGAGGTGTATGTGCCTACTGCAACACACGTACACCGGTAGCTCAACTCATGGATCTTGAATCTGCTCTTTCTGATGTCATCTGGCTCAAAAAAACTCTTCTAACTATTAAGACTATTTTCCTTTGTTTCCAATACTGTTCTCCCAACTCTACCAACTTCTTAGAACTCTTTGACTATCTCACTTCTCGTCATGAGTTGTTACTATCCACACACCCCAACACCCGAGATCTTCTACCGAGGGGATTTCAATGTACAGTACATCAGAGAGAGTGGCTTGGTTCTGCATGGGATGACCCTGGTGGAGTTGAGGTACTCTCTTCTTCCTTACTTAATGATCTGTAACAAATAATTAAACACCATACACGTGTTCCAGATTGACACATTCAACTCGTTAAAAAAAATTTATCTTTGTTTTACCTCTAACCCCTCTCGCTATTCATACTCAATGTCTGCCCCCATAGGGTCTTCTGTTCACAACCTTATTTCTATTAAATCAAATTGGGCAAGACAACCTCCCCCACCCCATTTAAACTTCAACTATGGCACTATCAGAGGGCAGATTGGCAATCCTTGCGAGAATTCTTCTCCGACTTTCCCTTGGATGAATGTTGCCTTTCCACTCGGGACACCTCGGTATGTGCTGACAACATTGCTGGGGTTATATAGGGTAGTATGAGTGCATTTATCCCATCTTCTGCCAAAACTTTCACTTTACAATCATGGTTTGATCGCTCCTGTTCTCTTGCCCGTAGGGAGAGACATAGGGCGTATCAAGTAATGAAACTATCTCCTCCAGTTACTCACTCCTCTTTCATTACTTCTTGGTATCGTAGGCTATTCTTTGTAGGGCCAAGTGGAATTTTATAAAAAGAAATACAGCACTGCTGACCTGAGTAATTCTTCTTCTAGTAAATCCTTTTGGTCCTTAACCAGAAACATATGTAAAAACTTCTGCACTCCCTCCTTTCCTCCTCTCTTCCAACCTGATAACTCTATAGCCAACTCTCCTTCTGATAAAGCCAATCTCTTTGGCACCTTATTCTCCTCTAACTCCACCTAAGACAATTCCAACTCCTCCTACTGAACCTATGCACTTTCCTATAATCTCCACTCGTAGGGTTGCTGGTGTATTATCCAATCTAGATGCGAGTAAAGGCGCATGGACCAAACGGAATACCCCTTCGTATTCTTTGGGAGTGTGCTTAAGTTCTGACCACTGTGCTTGCTCACCTCTTGCATTTTCCTCAAATCCCAAATTTTCCTCCTTCCTGGAAGCATGCCTCGCAGCCCATCCCGAAGAAGGGTGACCATTCTAGTCCCCCTAACTGTCACCCCATTGCCCTAACTTCATCCCTCTCTAAGATTTTCAAATTATCTTAAACTCACATTTTCTCCTGTCACCTTGAACACATTTCTCTTTTGTCGGATCACCAGTATGGCTTTCACAAAGCGAGATCTACTGGTGATCAGCTCTCCCACTGCACCCATCTCTCTTAAGGAATATGGAGAAACTTTCATTGTGGCCTTCAACACCCTCATAGCATTTGATAGGGCATAGCCCAAGTCTTTGCTTTCTAAACTTCCCTCTTATGGTTTCTCTCCCCCACTTTGCTCTCTAATTTCTAGATATGTTTCTAGAGCTGATATCGTTTCACCTATCAATGTGAATCTGTATAGCGCACGCACGCACACACACACTCCTACTACCACCTGAGATCCCTAGCCCGAGAATTGCTGTTCGACACCACAACCGCATCCAGCCCATACGTGCACGAACTGATCGCTATAAGAACAGCCCAGTCCCAACCATTGTAAAAATTATCAATAACTTGTAATAGACCAGTGTATTCACTCCCAGTAAACCCTACTCCTTGCACTGTCACTATGTTGAAATGCACTGTAGTTTGAGCTTTTCCCCATCTAGTTATTATATATCTTATTTATATCACTTATGTTACTTGTATATTATTTGAAATTCGAAACCCATTCCCCAAATATGTTACTGTATATTTTCAGCCTTCTGGCTGCCAAGTTCTTTCAATAAACCGTTAATTATTATTATTATTACACACACACACAAAATACATATACAAATAAATAATAATTGGAAAATACTCTCACAAATAATCAGAAACAGATTTATTAAAAATTTGACAGTCTACCCTCAAGTCCGTGCTCTATTAATAAAGTACTGCAATAGAGAGCAGACTTGAGGGTAGACTGTCACATTTTTATTAAATTTGTATCTAATTATTTGAGAGAGGATTTTCCAATCATTATTTATTTGTACTGTATGTGTTCTGAGTGTGTCTACACACACACACACACACATATATTTACAATACAGGTAAAGGAAATTACTGTCTCTAGAACGAATGGCTCCCTGTCCCAACTGCGAAAATGCCGGCAACTTTAAAACTACCCTTAGACATTCTTGGGTACATCCAAGGTATCATCTGCGAATAACCAATAACCACGAATATGAATCTGCAAACTTGGGGGGCCCCCTGTACTTGTTTAAATTAGATGTGCATTCTTCAATTTACAATAAACGTAACCATTCTAGGATTACACAGAAAGGGAAATTACATTATGACAAGTGACAAAGTGTCACTGGTAGCTCCACATATTCCCATATAAGGGAAGCAGGGCTACCAAATGTTAAGCCAGATGCAAGAACTTTGCATAAAATTCAGTACTGGTTAGTTATATTGTTTGCCACATATTGGGTAAAAGTAATTCATGGTCTGACTGTACATCCCTAATCAAACAGCTTTAAAAAAATACAGGTATATAAAAATTATATTTAGATACAATATCAACAGTCAACAAATTGATCCTTTTTACCTCACATTAATTGCTACTAAACTATCACTAAACAAATATGTAAATGTACTTCAACTTAGCTTTAGAAAGGCAAGATAAATCAGATGTATTATTACAGAAATGCACAAGATAAATTATAACAGTAATACACACTAAAGGCTTTTGTGTTTGCACATATAGGTGTTCAAACAGAAAGACATATTGGCTTCTAAGATCATGAAGTCCCACAAAGAATTTAAGAAAATACAAAATATTTAGTATACTTACAGAGTTTCCTTCTTCAAGTACAGGTTTGGCACGGAGGTAGTGGATAATATCATTGCGGAGCTGGATAAGACCTCGCTTTTCATTGTCTCCAGCTGGTACTTCTTCCATAGCACCATCCCTAGAATTATTATACATAAGGAGAACTATGGATAAATAGTGTCTGATCCTGAAATAAAATTTTCTAGAGGAGGTCAGAAACAAGCACCTCTCATCACATTGTTGACCTTACGAGGAGCTTCTGTAGTTTGATCTATGCCCCATTATGGAAGTTGCAGTCATTTCACCAATCTTTTAAAATACAAAATTCCTCACTATCCTTAAAAGAGGGATTTCAGGTAAGAAGGTTGCTCAAGAAAAGCTGGAAGTCTTTAAGTGCCAAATCTGTCCAACCAGTAGAGTACTTTAATAGTTATGTCACGAAACTTTGCAACTTCGGATCAACCACATAAATTACCACAACTGCCACAACCGAAACAGCTGCACTAACCCATACAGTTCTCGCAATTGTGAAACAATCACAAATGAGAGTTGAGAGCTGAGAAATTCATTAGGGTGTGGGACCGCCGACCGCTGTGTTGCCTTTATGTATAATATGTGACAATTATAGATATCAGCAAGTCTAAAAACTATGAGTATTGTTATGCTTAGCGCAATGCACAGCATAAAGCTTTGCGTTATGCATAGCAAAATATTTGACATGCCTGTATATATATTGGAGGGTGTGTGTGGGTGGTTGTTGAAGGGTGTGTGTGTGTGTATGTCGTTGTTGGAGGGCGTGTGTGGGTGGTTGTTGGAGGGTGTGTGTGTGTGGATGGTTGTTGGAGGGTGTGTGTGTGTGGATGGTTGTTGGAGGGTGTGTGTGTGTGGATGGTTGTTGGAGGGTGTGTGTGTGTGATGTAGGGGTGTAATGTTGGTGTGTATTATTTGGCTAATTGTGATACGGAGATGAATTTGATACCATAATAATCCTTAATAAACTCTCTATAAAACTTTTCCAATAAGATATCCTTATACGAAATATTTTTATATGATATAGTGTTGGTAATTCCAGTCTTCTATAAAAAAAAGTAAGAAATGTTGATACCGGAGTCAGTAAAAATAGTTTTAATTTCGTTAGACACACCATTTTTTCCATCAAAATAATCCCGAATACTTCATCTAAAAGTTAGGTTAAATAAATATATTTTAAAAACCAAAAGATCTATATGATATGGGCATGAAGAGAGCCGTGTTACTTTTTCCTCTTCGCCACTAATCAGCTTGTTAGTAGCTTGGGCGATCGGCCACGTCTCTGTTGCGCACTGTTGGCAAGTGTTCTTGTGTACAGTATACAGGGAGTTCTGCTACAACGCGTGTTTTGACAACGCGAATTGGCTCTAACGCGATTGATGAATAGAGGAACAATACAGTCAACCCTCGCTTTACGCGTTTCCACGTTTACGCGGTACCCTGCCGAAACCGGAATGCTCACTTTCCGTGGTGTGTGTACCCTTTTACGCGGAGAGCAGCGCGAGCAGGGTGCGCACAAGATCGCCCAGTCATCAAAACATTACCGAGTTCTTCACCCACCACAGCCGGCCCAAGTCAGTGATAATGATAGCGAGGATATGGACTTATATGGACTTTGAGGGGTTTGACAAAGAGGCCCTGCAAGCCTCTGTGGTAGATAGTGATACAATTGATACAAGTGATACAGGTGAGGGCCAATAATCTGCCCTCTGCCTCGGAACCAACCCCCCATCCCCGTGTGCCCAGCCATCTTTTCTACTAATGTAAGTGTTAAAAAACCTAATATTATTGATATTTCTCTTAATTATTAATTGTGTGTGCATACCATCATAAAATTAAGAAGTTATTTTTACTACAACGTAGGTATTGTGTCTGAAAAAGTGGAGTTTGCGGGTCGGCCCGGTCTCTATTTCAATTAATCCCATATGTTATGTTGTTCACTTTACGCGGGCCACCGTGGGTTGAATTAACCGCGTAAAGTGAGGGTTCACTGTATTTGTAAAACGCGAACGCGTTTGCTCTAACGCGATTCCACTCGAACGGTTGTTGTGGCTTGGCGCGGGGTTATGCAGTGTTTACAGTTCACGTTCGACATCACATGTTCAATTGATTTATGTGTTTTGCTTGTGAACAATTGCAGAAATAATTTACCGTATATCTCGGCCTATAAGAAGGAATTTGAAACAAAGAAATTAGCCTAAAGTTAGGGGGTCGTCTTAGGCACCAGATATAAAATTCTTACCTCTTAAATATTGCGGTTTAGCATGTCAAAAGTGGTGATGGAATCATCGTAAACCACTCAAGGTCCTACCACTAATTATTTTATACTGAAACTTACGTTTGGGAAGCTGGATTAAAATGAAGATTACCGGTATATTAAAATAATAAAAATGTACTATAAACCAGTCTAACATACCGTAAAAGAACAATATACCCCGGTAATAAACACGGCTGCTATCATCACCACCGCCCCCCCCCCATTTGCCAGTGACAAGAAAAGGAAAGTGACCTTGACTGTGACCGCCTGTGGCTATTTTTAGCCGTCCTTGTGTTTGGAGGTGGTCGGTAATGCATATCTGTATATTTACTGATGATAATACTTATCTCCTATAAATAATTCATTTAAAATTTATTTTTTTACAAAGAATATTCAGTAAATGACTGCGTTAATTCTTGAAACTATAGACAGTGGCAAATTTAGGATATAAATGATGAATAGAAGTCACGTCATGGATTCGGAGTTTGGTCCTTAATGATCACCATAGATGTCTGGTCAACTTCACCTACCAAGTATAATGGTAGCCTCCCTTTTTCGCGAAACAAGTATATAAATTAAAGAAAATACTTGCAGTGTGTTTAATATATTACAGTATATTATAAATAAATAAATAAACAAATAAATCGGCAAATCTATTTCAAGTAAATGGAAATATTTTACTCACACCGACATTAGTTCCAGTTAAATAACTGACGCTTAAGTGAGTCACTAGTGTACACCAGCCGGTAAAATTTGATGCCAATACTTTAAGTGAATTGGCCTTATTTTAAATAACCAACCATAATTAAATGCAAAAAGGAAAAAAGATCAAAGGTGAGAAAACTTATATTGTATGTATGCTGTGTTGTCAAAGGAAGAGAAACAATTGAAACTGCAATTGTGTGTAAATGAGGCAGAAAGATAAATCAGCAACCTAAGACTTGGTCACAATTTTTGTGATGCCATATGGAAGTAGGATCTACCATTAGACAATACTGTACATTATGCTTCCAATATCTTCACAGGCGGTAGTATCTCCCTGGTTGGTAGCTGCCTACTACCTATACACAAATTTTAGTAATATTACTTTGATACAACATGATAAATTAGACAAACAATGAAAATAAACAAACAAAAGTTATTTACCAAGACCTTCTCTCTGAGAACAGAGGGTAATAGATGGAGAGGAGATAAGAAGGCTATTTATAGCCCGTCTTTGTGTAGGAAGTCGACCACACTATAAATAATTCATTTAAAATTTATATCTTTTACATAGAATATTCAGTACATGACTGCGATTATAAAATAGGCCGAGATATACGGTATGTAATATTTATGTGTGTGTAATGTAAACAGAGCGCTTGGCCTCTCTCTCTCTCTCTCTCTCTGTATGGATGAAATTCGTGGTTTACTGTAGAGTGAGTGATACGAATGTCGTAACATTACTAGGCTGAAGGCGCCTGAATACTACTTAAACACATCAAAATTATGTTAATTGATCACTGTATAATAAATTCATTCACTCATAATTTAAAATTCCCTTATCATCCTGTGTTATATACAGAAATACTCGAGTCCCTGAGCGAGTACATAAAAAGAAAACGGAGGCCTAAGACATCCTGAAGTGGATAGAGAACGGACATCTCTACTGGGGGACTCAAACAATTCTTATGTTTTGTGGGCGCTGTAGCATAATATGAATAATATGTAAATTATAATTTACATATATATATATATACTGTATGTAAATTGTAAAAATTTAAATAAAAGAGAAAAACTAAATACGTAGTGTTTAAAGTGTACTGTACAGTGTTGTGGCTTGGCGCGGGGTTATGCAGTGTTTACAGTTCACGTTCGACATCACATGTTCAATTGATTTATGTGTTTTGTTTGTGAACAATTGCAGAAATAATTTATGTAATATTTATGTATACAGTACACCTGTACAGTATATGTAAATTGTAAAATTTTAAATAAGAGAGAAAAACAAAATACATAGCGTTTTAGACCCGCGCGCTCTGTTTACTCCACACGTTCAGTTTGAAACACGTGTGAAGTTTTTAAGCGTCCTCAGTGAATTCTGATTACTGTTTCTCCAATTTTGTGACTATGGAAAAGAAGAATGTCTCTGGGAAGCGTTCTGGTGATCGCATTTCCGGTGGTGATCGTAAAAGAAAGGCTATAACACTTGAAGAAAAGCTTCATGTTTCATGACTCCTCAACATCAACCTTCTCCCCCATCAAGTTATATTCATATTTTTTCAAGGTAAAGTGTAACATTTGCTGTATGATTTCATTATTAGATATGAATGTAACATTTATTTAGACTGTGCTATCCTTTGTGTTAGGCTAACTACGAATTTTTTTTTCGATGGAGTAATCTGCACCTTACCCTATTTTCTCCATAAGCCCTGTTATTTCTATTACGCGAATTTCTATAACACGATGTTTTACAAGAACACAACTATCGCGTTATAGCAGAACTACCTGTATATTATACACACTAGCAGATCTGTCATCTTAGCCTAGAATAGGCAGACACTTCACTCAATTGACTGGAATACATAACTAATCATGTCTTAACACTTGTGATGAAAGTTGGGCGAGAGGCTATTGGGTCACGTTACTAACCTGACCTGATGCAATGTCAAGTCACCCATCGATGGGTGCGGGATTAGTGGGTCTTACGACTTGAGGATTTCTTGAATGACATTTTTTACCTTTGTGGTACAGGTGCTCCTCTACTTACGAACAAGTTACGTTCCTGAGGCTTGTTTGTAAGTCCAACTTTACTATTGTAGAATACCAAACATATTGTAAGAAAATGAAAAGATTATAGATATTTATTACAG